TGTGTCATTTGGGGCCTGTTTTTTGTCTCCCCATTTTGGTTCCTTATTTGTGTTTGTTTCTATGTGTTAGATAGATCTGCTGTGACTCCCAGTATTCTGAGGTGGCCTTACATGATAGGTATCTTATGGGGTCCAGTGGTGCAGTCTCCTTGATCATCTGAGCTGAGTACTCCAGAAATGTCCCTTGTGTGTTAAGTGGACCCTTCTGTTGTAATTGAGTCTTGATTGTTATTGGCCCATTTGTGTATGGGATTGATCCTCAGGCTGGCTGACTGTGAGGCTCAGCCCCGACCAAGGCATACACGTTGCTGTGCAGGTACTGACCACATGAAGCAGAATTTGCCTTCGCAGGGTTTGATGCCTGCTGAGATTCCCCTTTGGATATGCTGCCTTGTGTAGCTTATTGGATCCTGTTCTGATGTTTTCTGAAGCTGGCCACTGAGTGTGTTGGTTCTGGGCCTCTTTGAAAGGACTCTGGTACAGGCCAGTATAAGACTGCCTATGAGCCCTGGCCGGTTTGGCTCAGCGGTTAGAGTGTCCGCCTGCGGTCCGGAGAGGCCCGGGTTCGGTTCCCGCTAAGGGCATGTACCTCGGTTGCAGTTTGTCCCCGTCCTGGTTGGTCGTGCGGGTGGCAGCCACTCGATGTGTCCCTTTCACATCGATGTTTCCCTCTCTCTCTCTTCCACTCTCTCCCTCCCACTCTGTCTGTACAAAAAATGGAAAAATGTCCTCGGATGAGGATTAAAAAAAAAAAAGACTGCCTATGACTGGTCTCGGAACACTGTTGGGAGCTACAAGTGATCCACAGTTTGTGGCTGCCTCTCCTGGTCCTGAATGCACATGGGAAGGACCAAAATGTACACCCATTCCAGCTTTTATCAACCTGGGGGCAGGTTAGCAAAAGTCCCAAGGTACCCTGAGATCTACTTCTGCTGGCTTCCACCTGCCTATAAGGCTCAGTCACTGAAAGAGCCTCTGGCTGTACCCCTCAGCAGGGTGTAAGCTCCACAGGGCAGCATGAGAGGGAGTCTAGTGGGTGGGGCTGTTGCTTTTCCCCAGGTGGATGCCACAAAGAGGGGAGTACTCCACCCAAGATAGAGGGCACCTGCTGTATGGGAGAATGACTCAGCACAGAGATCCTGGAACTTTCCCTTCAGCTCCCTCCCTCAGAGCCACAAACCTCAGTCTCTCCTCATATTGACTCTAGTCCAGCCCGCCCTCCCTCCACCAGGGTGAGTGGCTGCAAAATAAATGTGTGTTGGCCCTTTCAGAGGGTGCCTTTGTCTTTAGCAGACTCTCATCTCTTTCTGCCAGACAGAAACCCATCAGCTTTTCACCTGTCAGCTTTTTACTGATGTTATGTGGCTACCTCTTCCAGGTTCTCATGCTCTGGGCTAGAGCATCCAGCTTGGGGTTGAGACCCCCACACTTCTCAGTGGGTACCCCCTGCAGATCAGATATCCCTCTGTAACCTTACCAGCTGCCCAAGGGAGTGGGGCCAGCCCTTTTTGCATCTTTGCCCTTTCTGACAGTCTTGATGTAGCTTCTTCTGTAAATCCTTGGTTATAAGACTCCTCTTCAGCTAGTTTTCAGTTGGTTATTCAGGATGATTGTTCTATAATTTAGTTGTATTTCCAGTTTGGTCCTGGGAGGAGCTGTGTGTAGCTTCCACCTACTCCCCACCATCTCGAGTCTCTGTAAAAGTGCTCTTTATTCAATTCCCAAGTTCTCTCCTTTTCCTACTTTCCTGACAGTTTTATAATGAATGGCTATTGATATTAACATATGCTTTTTATGCATCTGTTAAGATGATCATATAATATTTCTTATTTCATCTGTTTCTCTATGTATCACATTGATTAATTTTAATTTTAAACCAACTTCGGGCTCCTGAATTGAACTCCAGTTTCTTACATTGGTTGGTAATATTTTAATAAGATTTTATACATGATTTTACCTAGGAAAGTGGTCTGTAGTTTTCTTGAAATGTCCTTGAAAAGTTTTCATGTCAGAATTGTTGTCAGCCATATCAAACAAACGGGATGTTTAATCTTCACCTGTTTTCTTACGGAATTTGTGTAAGATTGATACTATTACTTCCTTAAATGTTTCATGAAAATCATTATTAAGCTATTTGGGCCTTGCCTTCATTTTTATAATTCAAGACTTCTGCTTCTAGCCCTGAGGAAGTAACAGAGGCTAGAATTATACTTCCATAGGAAGCAACCAGAAAACTGGACAAATCTATTTTCAGATATTGAACAATAGGCAGCATAGACCTGGATTCTGGAGAGAATAGAGACAAATGAGATGAGCTCTACTTCATTCCAGGATTTCATCCAAAGGCCTATTTCAGATGGCAATGCAGAGAGGTGAATCCAAAAAGAACCTAGCATTTTACTACTTGAGGAGACCAACATTGTCATTCGAGGAGAGTGAGGTGGCTAAAATATATAAGTCACACTTTCCAAAGAAGGGAGCTATGCAGAGAGTTTCCCAAATCTGGAAAAGGTTCCTCTTGAGTCTTTAGCTAAATAAAGGTCTGTACCTATGTAGGTAAAACCCCATGAAACTAGACAAGGACATGTTCTAAGGAAAACATAATTATCATAGTGTTGTTAGACAAACAATTCCCATAGCTTATTGCACAAGAAATAATTTTGTTTTCCTCCAGCCTGAGTGGAAAGAACTTGTTAATATACAGGACATTAAATAGACACGATAGAAAGGCCACACTTAATAAATGAGGCTAGATTTGCTATAGATTAAAGACTTCACAAGATTTGCTATAAAGAAGCTTTTTTTAAAAAGCATTGAAAGGGTTAAGCCAATCCAAATATAACTGCTGTGTGTCCGTTGGGTTCCTCCAGGATGGAAAAGCTGAGATGGAGTTAAGAGTATAATAGATTTCTTTACTTTATTATTTTTTAAAATCCTCACCCGAGGATATTTTTGTTTTTCTTCAGATAGAGAGAGCAGGAGAGAAAGGGAGAGAGAGAGAAATATCAACGTGAGAGGGACACATCAACTGGTTGCCTCCCGCATGAGGGCCAGGGACGAACTGCAACCAAGGTACATGCCCTTGGCCAGAAATGAACCCATGACTCATTGGTCTACAGGCTGACACTCTACTGCTGGGCCAAACCAGCCAGGGCTGTAATAGATTTCTTAAAGGTGACATCTGTGAAAGATAAAAGAAGAAAGTAAGATTGAACATAGAAATCTATCAGACCATGATACAGATCTGATACCTGTGGAAAGAAAGGCAGATGCTAACAGGATTGGGCAGGGAGAGCCTCAGACCCTTATGCAAATCTGACCAACCTAACAGAGCAGTTTGAAGCAAAGATTGTCCATCAGAGGTATCCTACATGGGCAGGAACAGCCCATCCCCTCAGTATTCAGACATTGGATGGTGATTCCCTGGGGAGACCCTGATTTGGTTCAAAATACAAAGAGCAACCTGAAGATGCTAACAATTGGAGGCTGTCAGGTAATTACACTTCATGCACATAAATGGCAAGTTTTTCTATTTTGCAGGGAGGTCCTACTGGTGCAGAGCTATTCTTTTAGTTTGGGTAATTTCTGTTAACCAGACTTCCAATTTTCTAATTGTCTTGTGTTCATTTGCTGTTAAACCCATCCAGGGAATTTTATATTTCAAATATTGGGTTTTTCTAGTTAGCATTTTCTTATTTCTTCTGAATAATCCATCTCTTCACCAATATTTCTGTCTTATTGTAGATGTGTAAATAAATTTATCATCATTACTTTAAATTTATTATTTTCTAATTTCAATGTAGGAGACATCTATTGGTTTTTTTCTGTTGACTGTTTTTTATCTTCTCTGTTGATCACATTTGCCTCTTTCTTCTCAGGAAAAACTTGTAGATAATATATTGTAAAGATGTTGGGTCCTGTCTTGCCAGTGTGATTCAGTGGATTGAGTGTCGTCCCATGGACTGAGAGGTCCTGGTTTGATTCCGGGTCAGGGCACATGCTCAGGTTGCAGGCTCTATCCCCAGTAGGGGGCATGCAGGAGGCAGCCAATCGATGTTTCTATCTATCCCTTCTTCTCTCTCTAAAAAAATCAATAAAAACTTATTTAAAAAATAAAAATAGTTCCACCAGATGTGGGTCTTAGTAAGGTAATAGTAATCAGATATAGCCAAGAATTTATAAGAAAAATAATAGATAAGGTCAATCATTGCTATGCATATACATTGAAGAATCTAGTCCTTCACAGTCCCAATAGGGAATAGCAGAGTTTAAGGTATATTACTACATTGGGAGGAAAACTTGAACCCGTCCTTCTCTAACACTGAAAAAGTAATTCAGCAAATTTAAAGGAGGAAAAATTAGATGGTCAGGAGAACTTAGTTACTGACCATCCCTCTGGAAGAATAAATTGAGGTAATAGCAATCAGTGATTATGTTCATGTTGAAAGTATGTTTTGTCCTCTGGTTCATTTTATAATTCCTAGTGAAAATTTTTTCCTAATTCTTCCCTTTTAAGAGATAGGCTAAATGAAAGTGAAAAAGAAACAAATGGAAATATTTTATAACACTTATTTAAGCATGAGGAAATAAATATGTTGGCTTTTATCTCCATTGAATGATTTTCCTTGCTTACTGTTTAGTACTCTTGATAGTCTCACTTCATTACCTCTAAAATTGCCCATTCCAAGAATAATGCCACTTTTACCATTCTTTACTTAGTTGTCCTTGTGTTTATTAGACCTGATCAATGTAGCTTATATTTATAACTTGCCAAAGATATGAGTATTCTTTGCTTATGCCAATTTTTCCTCATTGTAACAGTATAGCAGGATTTGTGTTTATGTTCTATGGATTTCCTCTAACAAGAGGCCATTTATTTAGGCCTTTCTATAGATCTCAATAGTGAGACAGACAGTACCACAAAGGGTTCTTTGTATATACATCTAATTCATAACATTTATGTGAAGACTTACAGTGTTGTTTGTTGTATTCTTTTCTAGAAGAAGATGGGAAAGCTGAAGATGTTGTAATGAAGTTTAAAGAATACCAAGATAGGCATTTTAGATCAGTTGTATTCATCAACCACAAAAGATTAATTAAGGAAAGAAGTAATATTTGGGGGAAAACACTTACAGTAGGCAAGAACTATATTATTTCAAAAACGACACTACATGAATATAAACCTAATGGAAAGGTTTTAAAAAATATTTCAGAATTAGTCATTAGAAATATAAGCCCTGTAAGAGAGAAGTTTGGTGAGAGTAATGGATGGGGGAAATCACTCGTCAGTACAAAGCATGAAAAAATTCATACTGCAGCAACTCTCTATAAAAAAACAGAAAGGAGTCTGAGTGATAAACAAGAGCTTATTAAACATCAGAAGATTCAAACTCCAGAGCAATCATTTGAACATAATGAGTGTGAAAATTCCTTCCTTATGAAAGGAATGTTATTTACACATACTAGAACTCACAAAGGAGAAAGACTCTTTGAATACAATAAAGATGGAATGCCTTTCATCGAAAAGTCAAATCCCAGTGTCCATCCACAAAATCTTATGGAGGAGAAGCCCCATGCATATAGCAAATATGGAAAGTTCCTCTGTAGAAAGTCCATTTTTATTATACATCAAAGATCTCAAACAGAAGAGAAACCCTTTCATTGTTCTTACTGTGGGAACAGCTTTAGAAGGAAGTCATATCTCATTGAACATCAGCGAATTCACACGGGTGAGAAACCTTATGTTTGCAGTCAGTGTGGAAAAGCGTTCCGTCAAAAGACAGCCCTCACTCTTCATGAGAAAACACATATAGAGGGAAAGCCCTACATTTGTATGGATTGTGGGAAGTCCTTCCGCCAGAAGGCAACCCTCACCAGACATCACAAAATACACACAGGGGAGAAAGCCTATGACTGTACTCAATGTGGAAGTGCTTTTAGAAAAAAGTCATACCTCATTGATCATCAGAGAACTCACACAGGAGAGAAACCATATCAATGTAATGAATGTGGGAAGGCATTTATCCAGAAGACAACCCTCACTGTACACCAAAGAACTCACACAGGAGAAAAACCCTATATTTGTAATGAATGTGGGAAGTCCTTCTGCCAAAAGACAACCCTCACTCTCCATCAGAGAATTCATACCGGGGAAAAACCCTATATTTGTAATGAATGTGGGAAGTCCTTTCGCCAGAAAGCAATCCTCACTGTTCATCAGAGAATACATACAGGAGAGAAATCCAATGGATGTCCTCAGTGTGGGAAAGCCTTTAGTAGGAAATCAAACCTCATTCGCCATCAGAAAACTCACACAGGAGAGAAACCATATGAATGTAAAGAATGTGGTAAGTTCTTCAGTTGTAAGTCAAACCTCATTGTCCATCAGAAAACTCACAAGGTAGAAACCATGGGAATATAGTAAAGGATGTGACTTTTATTTTGTAAAAAATTTTAAAGTTATAATAAACCTCGTACATGATGTTGCTTGCAAGTATAATAATATTCAACAAGTTAAAGGTACTATACCACATATTTACTTACTGTTCGCTAGCCTGTAAAATACACAAAAAAGAATTACTAGACAAATTAAGTGACAAAAGTCATTGAAAATACAAGCCCCAATTTTTTTATTATTAGATTCATCAGACACAAACTTTCTCTTTTAAGTTGCTACACACATTTAAAATTGCTTATTTCAGCGCTGGCCGGTTTGGCTTAGCAGTTAGAGCATCAGCCCATGGATCGGAGAGTTCCGGGTTCGGTTCCCACTAAGGGCACGTACCTTGGTTGCAGTTTGTCCCCAGCCCCAGCTGGGGTCGTGTGGGTTGCAGTCACTTGATGTGTCTCTCTCACATCGATGTTTCTCCCTCCCTCTCTCTCCCCCTACCGCTCTATCTGAAGATAAATGCAAAAAAAAAAAAAAAATTGCTTATTTCAATATCAATACCTACCTTGTTGTAAAACAAATATACAGTTGGTAAATAAACTACACTGTGAACAAAGGACTTTTAAAAAGAAAGAAGATGTGAACTGTATTTCTCATTGCTGATATGTAATAAAAATTAGTTGTTACCTCCTCAGAGTTAACCACAGTTCTAACTTCTAATATTATAGTTTTTGATTCTAAGTTTTAATCTAAATTGGATTATATGTCATGTATTTTTGCATATTTGGCTTATTTCATTCATCATATGTCTCTAAAACTCATCATTAGTGCATGTGGCAGAAATTCATGTATTTTTATTCTGTATAGAATTTTATTATGTGAGTATATCACAATTTAGCCATCTATTGTTGGTGGATTTTTTCTTTGTTTACAGCTTAGGGTCATAATAAATAATGCTTCTGTGAATATATTTGTGTTTAGATGTACATATATTTATTTCCTTCGTGTATAAATTTAGGAGTGGAATTTCTGGGTCCTGAGGCAAACATAGGTTGGCTTTGGTAGAGAGTACCAAACAACTCAGAACTTTCACAGGATGATGTAATTTATTCTGAAGAGGAACAACTGAATATTATCAGTATAGTAAACTCATGGTAGAGGGCAACTATGAATGTTGTGAAAACTAGGAATCTGAATATAATGCGTGTACAAAGGCTTTAGCCACAGCCTAAATCTTAACATAACACCAGACAAATGTAATAAATGTGAAATCACCTTTAGCCACAATAATGCCTTATTTGAAATCAGAAAGTTTTACTAGAGAAAGGGAAGCATCTAACATCTTCCTTGTTCAACATTAGAGAATACTAACTGGAGAAAAACTGAATAAAATGAAGGTTGTAGGGGATAACCTTTACTTATGGCCTATATCTTAATGGTCATATCAAAATGATGAATATGGAAAAGTTAGCCATAGCTCAAATATTACACATCAGGAAATTCACATTAGATGGGAACTTTTCAAATGAAATTTTTATAACAGTCACTTTAGCTATACCTCACTTCTTATACAACACCAAACAGTTCATACTAAAGTAAAGCAAATTGCCCTGGCCAGTTTTGCTCAGTGGTTAGAGTGACAGCCCACAGACCAGTCAGGGGTTCAATTCTGGTCGAGGGCACGAACCTCAGTTGCAGTTCGATCCCCAGCCCTATTTGGGGTTGTGGGGGAGGCAACCAGTCTGTGTTTCTCTCACATTGAAGTTTCACTCTCTCTCTCTCCCCACCCCCCACCCCCACTCTATCTGAAAATCAGTGGAAAAATATCCTTGGGTGAGGATTAAAAAAAGAAAGGCAAATTAAAAGTGGAACAAATGAGGCTTTTAACTCTAACTATAGGGAATGCTGCTTCCATAAAAGAAGTCCAGCCATGCTGAGAACATAACGCTAGAGTCTGTGTGTAGTCACCCTGGTCATTAGCCCCAGGTAAGCTCCCAGTAATCACCCAACTCTTTTTTTTTTATATTTTTTTATTTTTTATTTATTTATTCAGATAGAGTGGGAGAGAGAGAGGGAGAAACATCGATGTGAAAGGGACACATCGAGTGGCTGCCACCCGCAAGGCCCAACCAGGCACGACCCAACCAGGGCCGGGGACAAACTGCAACCGAAGTACATGCCCTCAGCGGGAACCGAACCCAGGTCTCCCCGGACCTCAGGCCAACGCTCCAACAGCTGAGCCAAACCAGCCAGGGCAATCACCCAACTCTTAAGATGGCTAGAGCCTACTGGCATCCAACAGGAACCACATGACAGACCCCAAGCAGTAACTGCTCAGCTGAGGCCTTCTCAAATTCCCAACCCATAAAATGGTTACATCTTTTGAATTAAATTTGATAGATTAAAAGAATGATTATCTTGTTATCAGTATTTACATTACAAAAATAAAAGTATAAACATTTGGATTCTAGAGTCAATGAGCAAATGTGTGTTGACTAATAGGTGATTTTGGCATGAACAAAAACTGGCCCTGAAATTACATACCTAAAGAACAGCTCAATGAAGGGCCCGTATATGTTTATTCTTTCTCATTTTCTGGAAGTAACTTAGACTTATCAACTTGGTTAGCTTACCTGTACAAATGCATACTTCCCAGTTTTTCAGAAAATGAGAATAGCCCCAAACTTGGTGGCTCAGATGGTAACACAGAAGGACCTTAATTTTGAGGTCACAATTCTAGATATAGCAACCACAGAAAGAAAAAGAAAAAGCTTTTAAATGCAAGCAGAAAATGGAATGTGCCCTGGCCACTTTGTCTCAGCAGTTAGAGCGTTGGCCTGCAGACCAGAGTCCCCAGTTTGATTCTGGCCAAGGGCATGTACCTCGGTTGCAGTTCCTCCCCAGCCCTGGTTGGGGTCATGTGGGTAGCAACCAATCGATGTGTCACTCTCACATGAATGTTTCTCTATCTGAAGATAAATGTAAAAATATCCTCCGGTGAGGGTTAAAAAAAAAAAAGAAAGTGGAATGACATATGGAATAGTCTTATTTGTTTAGACATGTTACATCCAAATTTCTTTAGAGTATTTATCTGGAAGTGTCTAGTCAAAACAATCAGACTTTGAGTTCCACAAAATCCTCTTGAAGTTCTGCCAGTAAGGACTGAACATTAGTGTGAAACATAAGTTTATTCTTGTGTATGGTGTAAGTTGGTGGTCTACTTTCATTTTTTTTGCATGTGCCTGTCCAATTTTCCCAACAGCATTTATTGAATAAATTATCTTTATACCAATGTATGCTCTTTTCTCCTTTGTCAAATATTAATTTACCATATTGGCATGGGATGATTTCTGGGGTCTCTTCTATTCCATTGGTCCATGTGCCTGTTCTTATGCCAGTATTAGACTGTTTTGATTATAGTGGCTTTGTAGTATAGTTTGATATTTGGTATTGTGACCCCTCCAACTTTGTTTTGCTTTCTCAAGATTGCTGAGGCTATTCAGGATCTTTCTGGTTCCATATAAATTTTTGGAATATTTTTTCTAGATCTGTGAAATATGCCATTGATATTTTAATAGGGGTTGTGTTGAATCTATAGATTTCTTTGGGTAGTATGGACATTTAAATGATGTAAACTCTTCCAATTCATGAACGCAGTATATGCTTTCAATTATTTGTATCTTCCTCTATTTCTTTTTCCAATGTCCTATAGTTTTCTGAGTACACGTCTTTTACATCCTTGGTTAAATGTATTCCCAGGTATCATTTTTTTGTAGTTAGTGCAATGGTAAATGGGATTGTTTTCTTAGTTTCTCTTTCTGAGAGTTCATTATTGGTGTATAAACATCCATCAACTTCTCTATGTTAATTTTGTATCCTGCTACTTGGCTGAATTCATTTATTAAATCTAGAGTTTTTTGATGGAGTCTGTAGAATTTTCTATGTACAATATCATCTCATCTGCAAACAGTGACGGTTTTACTTCCTCCTTTCCAATTTGGATGCCTTATTTTTTTTTCTTCTTGTCTGACCACTGTAGCTAGGATTTCTAGTACTATGTTGAATAAGAATAGTGAAAGCAGACGTCCCTATCTTGTTCCTGATCTTAAGAGAAACACTTTGTTTTTTGCCCAATGAGTTTGAAGTTAGCTGTAGGTTTGTCATATATGGTGTTGAGGTATGATTCCCCTATTCTCACTTTGCTGAGAGTTTTTATCATAAATGCATGCTGGATTTTGTCCAATGCTTTTTCTGCGTCTATTGATATGTGATTTTTTAAATGTTTTCACTGATTTTTTAGAGAGAAAGGAAGGGAGAGAGAAAAAAACATTGATGTGAAAGAGATACATCCATCAGCTGCCTCCTGCATGCCTCCTTCTGGGGATTGAGCCCACAACCCAGGCATGTGCTCTGACTGGGAACTGAACTGGGACTTCTGAGGTCATGGGATATTGCTCAATCCATTGAGCCACAGCAGCAGGGATGATCATATTACTTTTATCCTTCATTTTGTTTATGTGATGTATCACATTTATTGTTTGTGAATATTGTACCAGCCTTGCTTCCCTAGAATAAATCCCCGTTGGTCATGGTGTATGATCTTTTAATATATTGCTGGGTCCGAATTTACTAATATTTTGCTGAGGATTTTAGCTTCTGTGTTCATCAGGGATACTGGCCTTTAATTTTCTTTCTTTGTAGTGTCTTTATCTGGTTTTGGAATTAGGATAATGGTGGCCTCCTAAGAAAGAGCTTGGAAGTCTTCCCTCTGCTTGAATTTTTTGGACTATTTTGAGACGGATTTGTGTTAGTTCTTCTTTCAATGTTTGTTAAATGTCACCTGTGTAGCCCTCTGATCCAGGACTTTTTTTGCTGGGAGCTTTTTAATTACAGCTTCAATTTCATTAGTTGCTATCAGCCCATTCAGATTTTCTGATTCTTCCTGATTGAGATTTGGAAGATTGTATTTTTTTAGGAATCTGTCCATTTTGCTCAGGTTGTCCAGTTTGTTGGTATATAGCTGTTAGTATTTTCTTACAATCCTTTGTATTTCTCTGATGTCAGTTGTTCGCCTCTTCCATTT